AATATAGCATTAGAACAGGACAAGATTCCAATGCTCTATTTGTTCATGTAAGAGATTTTAACCATCCAATTGATTTTCAAAAAGTTGAGAAAGTAGTATCAAGCAAGTCCATGGTCGACAGGAATATAATTGAATCTTCTTTCATAAAAAGCAGTTTTGACAATAATATGAATATTTCCTTTGGTTTATATAAATTAGATCCATTTATAATTAATAGAATTTGGGAAGAATTTAATAATACACTGGACAAATAATAATTTTTTAAATTTCTTATTTCTTGGGTAGAATAGTTTGTTGGTGGGTTGTGTGAAGGACCTGTCTAGTTGGGCCGGCGGGCTTGCTTTCTTATGAGTCGCGCGTCAGGTGTTTAATTGTTGTGGGATCTGATAGTGAGGTGTTGGCTAGACCCCTTATATACCTTCCTTTGATGCTTTACTTTCATAGTTCCTTGATAATGTGAGTAGTCACGAAAGCGCTTGGAATTTCTCTATTGTTTCACAGTTGTTGTTTTGCATATATATATATATATATATATATATATATATATATATATATTATATATATATATATATATATATATATATATATATATATATATATATATATATTTAAACAAGTCGGCCGTCTCCCACCGAGGCAGGGTGACCCAAAAAGAAAGAAAATCCCCAAAAAGGAAATACTTTCATCATCAATCAACACTTTTATCTCACTCACACATAATCACTGTCTTTGCAGAGGTGCTCAGAATGCAACAGTTTAGAAGCATATACGTATAAAGATACACAATATATCCCTCCAAACTGCTAATATCCCAAACCCATCCCTTAAAGTGCAGGCATTTTACTTCCCATTTCCAGGAGTCAAGTCCGGCTATATAAAAATAACCGGTTTCCCTGAATCTCTTCACTAAATATTACCCTGCTCACACTCCAGCAGCTCGTCAGGTCCCAAATACCATTCTTCTCCATTCACTCTTATCTAACACGCTCATGCACGCTTGCTGGAAGTCCAAGCCCCTCGCCCACAAAACCTGCTTTACTCCCTCCCTCCAACCTTTTCGAGGACGACCCCTACCCCGCCTTCCTTCCCCTACAGATTTATACGCTCTCCCTCTCATTCTACTTTGATCCATTGTCTCTAAATGACCAAACCACCTCAATAACCCCTCTTCAGTCCTCTGACTAATACTTTTATTAACTCCACACCTTCTCCTAATTTCCACACTCCGAATTTTCTGCATAATATTTACACCACACATTGTCCTTAGACAGGACATCTCCACTGCCTCCAACCGCCTCCTCGCTGCAGCATTTACAACCCAAGCTTCACACCCATATAAGAGCGTTGGTACTACTATACTTTCATACATTCCCTTCTTTGCCTCCATAGATAACATTTTTTGTCTCAACATATACCTCAATGCACCACTCACCTTTTTTTCTTCATCAATTCTATGATTAACCTCATCCTTCATAAATCCATCCACTGACACGTCAACTCCCAAATATCTGAAAACATTCACTTCTTCCATACTCCTCCTCCCCAATTTGATATCCAATTTTTCTTTATCTAAATCATTTGATACCCTCATCACCTTGTTCTTTTATATGTTCATTTTCAACTTTCTACCTTTACACACACTCCCAAATTCGTCCACTAACCTTTGCAATTTTTCTTTAGAATCTCCCATAAGCACAGTATCATCAGGAAAAAATAACTGTGTCACTTCCCATTTTGTATTTGATTCCCCATAATTTAATCCCACCCCTCTCCCGAACACCCTAGCATTTACTTCTTTTACAACCCCATCTATAAATATATTAAACAACCATGGTGGCATTACACATCCCTGTCTAAGACCTACTTTTACCGGGAGGTAGTCTCCCTCTCTTCTACATACCCTAACCTGAGCCTCACTATCCTCATAAAAACTCTTTACAGGATTTATTAACTTACCATCTATTCCATATACTTGCAACATCTGCCACATTGTTCCCCTATCCACTCTATCATATGCCTTTTCTAAATCCATAAATGCAATAAAAACTTCCCTACCTTTATCAAAATACTGCTCACATATATGTTTCAATGTAAACACTTGATCTACACATCCCCTACCCACTCTAAAACCTCCTTGCTCATCCGCAATTCTACTTTCTGTCTTACCTTTAATTCTTTCAATAATAACCCTTCCATACACTTTTCCTGGTATACTCAGTAAACTTATTCCTCTATATTTTTTACAATCTCTTTTGTCCCCCTTCCCTTTATATAAAGGGACTAGACACGCTCTCCACCAATCCCTAGGTACCTTCCCCTCTTTCATATATTTATTAAACAAAAATACCAACCACTCCAACACTATGACGAACCCTGCTTTTAACATTTCTGTCATGATCCCGTCAGTTCCAGCTGTTTTACCCCCTTTCATTCTACGTAATGCCTCACGCACCTCCCCCACACTCACATCCTGCTCTTTTTCACTCCTAAAAGATGATATACCTCCCTGGACAGTGCATGAAATTACCGCCTCCCTTTCTTCGTCGACATTTAAAAGTTCCTCAAAATATTCTCGCCATCTACCCAGTACCTCCATCTCCCAATCTACTAACTTCCCTACTCTGTTTTTAACTGACAAATCCATTCGTTCCCTAGGCTTTCTTAACTTGTTTAACTCACTCTAAAACATTTTCTTATTTTCATTAATTAAAATTTCTTGACAGAGTCTCTCCCACTCTATCATCCGCTCTTCTTTTGCACTCTCTCACCACTCTCTTCACCTTTCTTTTACTCTCCATGTACTCTACTCTTCTTATAACACTTCTGCTTTGTAAAAACCTCTCATAAGCTAACTTTTTCTCTTTTATCGTTCCCTTTACTTCATCATTCCACCAATCACTCCTCTTTCCTCCTGCCGCCACCCTCCTATAACCACAAACTTCTGCCCCACATTCTAATACTGCATTTTTAAAACTATTCCAACCCTCTTCAACCCCCCCCCCCCCCCCCCACTACTCATACTTGCACCAGCCCACCTTTCTGCCAATAGTTGCTTATATCTCACCTGAACTCCCTCCTCCCTTAGTTTATACACTTTCACCTCCCTCTTACTTGTTGCCATTTTCCTCTTGTCCCATCTACCTCTTACTCTAACTGTAGCTACAACTAGATAATGATCCGATATATCAGTTGCCCCTCTATACACGTGTACGTCCTGGAGCCTACCCATCAACTTTTTATCGGCCAATACATAATCTAACAAACTACTTTCATTACGAGCTATATCATAACGTATATATATATATATATATATATATATATATATATATATATATATATATATATATATATATATATATATATATATATATATATATATATATATATATATATATATAATAAATATATAGTGAGAGAGAGACAGAGAGACAGAGGAAAAGACAGAGTTCGCAATCAGCAGGAGTCAAACTCACTACAGGGAGACTGACAAGGCTACCAAAGTGACGCTCTTGTTCACTCGGCCACAAATACCTCCAAAGCTGGGTAGCCTAGTTTACATGCATGTGTTTTTCCCAGTCCAGGCACATTAGTGATCCTCAAGCATGGCTTCAAGCTATTTCAATCTCCTCCTGTATGTTCTGACCTTACAAGCGATTTTTATGTATCAATGCACTACGCAGAAACATGTGAGAATATACAGAGAAAAATCGCAGTCAGCAGGAGTCGATACCACTACAGGTTCGGAGAACCTATAGTGGGTTCAGAGTTCGGAGAAGTGAATAAAAAGGCTTCGAGGAAGTATATTTGGATTTATTCCAGAAGCCATTCCACTTCCAAAATATACCAATAGGTATATTTTATTACATAACATGATACAAAAGATTTAAAAGACACATTGCTGGTACAAAGCCGACATATACAGTACATGAGGTTTAAGGGATACATTTGAAGAACATATTGCTACGTGTTTATCACAGATTATAATGCAAAACTCTCATCTAGCTCCTCAGGGCTGAGGCGCGTGTCCAAGATACAGCAGGAATTAGCCCTCTGAACCGTAGCACTGAGTCGCTCTCATTACCTTCCAAATTCTCGGCTGATTGGCTTAAAACGTTGAATAACGAAGCCTTTTAATTCACTGACAGCGGAGAGGGAAAATTCAAGTGTGCTTGTGCATGTCTGCCATTGTTATGTGTAAAATTCTGTGAAATTTATGTGCCTGATATATCACGTTAAATATTTTTGAGTCTTCCTCTTAATGACTGATACATCTACTGGCTAGCATATTAACAGTTAAGTTTTGTGTGCCGGCAAAGTTGCCATTGTACTACATAAGTTAAAAAAAATAATTTGGTGGTATCCATGCCGATCCTCTGATCAGCATCAAATTTTTATCTCTGATCTGTTTTCCAGAAAACAAAGTTCACGTTCTTACTGGACCGCAAAAGTCACAGTGTGTCAAGTTTACTTAATTAATAGTGATATTTTTTAGATTATATAACTTAAGAATACTTCATCCTAAGACTTAAGAATACCTCATCTTAGGACTTAAGAATGCCTCATCTTAAGACTTAAGAATACCTCATCTTAGGACTTAAGAATACCTTGTCATAAGACTTAAGAATGACTCAACTTAAGATTAAAGAACGCCTCATCATAAGACTTAAAAATGTCGTATCTTAGAGTCCTTTGGTTTTACAAAACTTCAATAAAATGTGAATTCAATTTCATTGGATATTAATTCATTTTTTTATGCTGTCAATTTTTTTTTTTTTTTTTTGAGATTTGGGTGCGTTGGTTAAGACAAATTTACCTGGGGTTGTGCAGGTTAATAAAGTTAATAGAAGTTACACGGCCCTCCTCTGATGTAACCAAAATTGCTCAGTGAAGACGTGAACAATTAGTTACAGTCGTTCATTACGACTTTTTCAAGAACATAATCATCATACCACGTGTAATTTGTGAATTATAGCTAACTCATATTTATCGATGTCTTCCAGGCCATTTACAACCTGTATAATAAGAGCGGGACCATTGTAGCCCCTCCAGATCCGAATGGAAACTTTCATTACTGCAACTACTGCGAGACTCTCTGGATCCTGGACATGGGAGAGTCTGACATTAAGATCGAGCTCACTATTGAGAACACTGACCTCGGCTTCCTCACGAACGCCATCAACAACAATGACCTGATGAACAGCACCGACGGCGACTTCCTTCTGATTGGCACAGGTTGGTGAGGTGTATTGTGTAACGGTGTGATCCGACTGGACTGAGTTAGAGGAATATACACTCACACCAGAAAAAAATATTGCCATGTATGTACATTAAATGTAATTTTCGTACAGTGGATACAGTCACAGGAAGACATGTGTACATAGGATGCAGTCACTGAGAGGTGTATACCTCTCAGTGATTGCATGTACACTTGATACAGTCAGTCAGTGCACTGGTTATGAAGTGGGGATACCATGGCAGAATATATCGACGGCGTGTAAATAAGACACAATAACCCCTCTTATTTTTCCTCATTTATTCAGTGGATTCAGTGAATAAATAATTAGTCACACATAAAAACATTCATGGATAACCATACCTACTCATGCACCTATCAAATCTAATATTTACGCACATATCAGTTTTACAGTATAAGAACTGTTACCCTTCCTTGCCTGGTGGCAAAAAGCTCTCGCTTCACACAGTGAGGTGTCCAGGTTCGATTCCCGGCAAGGGTAGAAACATTGGGCGTGTTTCCTTACACCGGTTGTCAGTGTTCACCCATCAGTAAAATGGGTACCTTGGTGTTAGTCGACTGGTGTGGGTTGCATCCTGGGACAAAACTGACCTAATTTGCGCGAAATGCTCTGCATAACAAAGGGCTCTCTGTACAGTAGTATGTCATTGATGTCAGCTAGGACTGTATACCTTGTACATGTACTTGTAGAAATACAGATATTATTATTATTATTATTATTATTATTATTATTATTATTATTATTATTATTATTATTATTACCTTACTACCACCACTCCCCGAGATGCAGCCCACAATAGTCGACTAACACCTATGTACCTACTTACTGCTAGGTGAACGAAAGGAAGCAGAAATAAGGAAACATGCCCCAAGTTTCCACTCCAGCCGGCAGTGTGTGCTACCAACACAACCTCGGGACTCACTACTAAAAGTACTTGCTTTATGGTGCTATTTTGTCAGTTGTTCCACTCGTCGACAACTTTAATGTCAGATCAGTGCTTTTCTGCTTTCTACCCGAAATGCCTAGCCATGCTAGGCGTTCTAGTGGTACACTCTGTAATTATTATTTTACTACATGTAAACCACACAATAACCAAATTCTGTAAACTCAGCATTGTAATACTTACAGAGAATAAAGTTTGAATTGAATTGAATCATGAGAAATATAAGAACAGCGGATCACTTCAGTAGGTTCTTCTCGCTCAAATATTCGTCAAAACTGCTCAACGTTTTTGCTTCTATTTGGCAGATTATTTCACACATGTTCAACTGTATTACTGAAACAGTATCTCCAGATATTTCCGAATCTCAGTTTAATTCATTTTGAATTCATTGTTTCAAGATATTTCTTGGTTAGATATTCTTAACACCCTGTTGACATCTAATTTATTTAACCTTGTCTTCCACTTGCTCTCTTCATCACATTTCTCCTCATTTTACCTCTTTTATTGTTATTATTATTATTATTACTGTTGTTGTTGGTAGTAGTAGTAGTAGTAGTAGTAATAGTAGTAGTAGTAATAGTAGTAGTAGTAGTAGTAGTAGTAGTAGTAGTAGTAGTATTAGTAGTTGTAGTAGTAGCAATAGTAGTTGTAGTAGTAGCAGCAGCAGCAGCAGCAGCAGTAGTAGTTAGTGTAGTAGTAGTAGTAGTAGTAGTAGTAGCAGTTTACAAAGACACGTAAGCAAACACTGTGACATATTTATTAGAACACGTTTCGGTCCTGGGACCTTGATCACTTCTAACATACAGAGGTAGAAAGACATTATATACATAGGCGGAGAGTGAGGTTTGAGTGACGCACGGTGACCTGAAGAATGTCATGTTGGGATGAGGACGGGTAGACGATGAAATCATGTGACTCCTGTGTTGTTGGGTTGGTGGTGCTTAAGTATCATGTATGCCAATGTTTTTGAAATTTTGTAGTTTCCAGTGTTACGTTCTATAGTGTCGGTGACGGCGATTAGTGAGGCTTCTAAGCACCGTCGGCGTCTGAGGTCTGGTTCGGTGAGAAAGAGTTGTGCCTCATTCCAGTTCATCAAATGGCCCGTGGAGTCTCTGTGGAGGACAAAGGCGTACCTTACATCGTCTCTCTTAAAGGCATTTCGATGCTCATTCAGGTGGACTGCAAGATCTCTGCCTGTCTCGCCTACATACTTCTTGGGACAGAATCCACAGGGGATAGTGTAGACGCCTGCTGCAGAAGTTAGAGGTGTGGGGCTGCGTTTCGTAGTAAGGTCTTTGATAGATGATGTGTTTATGGTGGAAACGTTGATGTTACTCATAGCAAGTGCCCGGCGAGTATTCGTGGCAACATTACCACATGGGAGCACTATGAACTGCTTAGGGGGTTGTTCCATGGGCGGTTTGTTGAGGATAGCTTGTGCCTTGAGTCTGCAATCTCGGATGAAGAAAGATGGGAACTGAAGACGTGTAAAGGCTTGTGTCATGTATGTACATTCTTACATAACACAAGCCTTTATGTTATGTAAATGCATTCTTACATAACACAAGCTTCTCCAGGCTGAGGGACTGACAACCTCAAATCTACGACTTTAAGGGTGATGGACTGATTACATCGTCTTCACATCTCTACTGCTCCTGCTTACTTTCTTTACTCGACTGAAGAAGCCTACTGTGTAGGCGAAACTTTTCGGAAAAAAGTTGCTTAAATGTTGCCTATGTGTCTTAACTACCATCCTGTCGGTATTGTATACCATTTTAATATTCAGATCTTAATACTACTGATTGCGAAAAGGATTTAGGAGTTCTGGTTAGCAGTAATCTAAAACCAAGACAACAGTGCATTAGTGTTCGCAATAAAGCTAACAGAATTCTTGGCTTCATATCTGGAAGTATATATAATAGAAGTCCTCAGGTTGTTCTTCAACTCTATATATCCTTGGTAAGGCCTCATTTAGACTATGCTGCTCAGTTCTGGTCACCGTATTACAGAATGGATATAAATATTCTGGAAAACGTACAGAGGAGGATGACAAAGATGATCCCATGTATCACAAATCTTTCCTATGAGGATAGACTGAGGGCCCTGAATCTGCACTCTCTAGAAAGGCGTAGAATTAGGGGGGATATGATCGAGGTGTATAAATGGAAAACAGGAATAAATAAAGGGGATGTAAATAGCGTGCTGAAAATTTCCAGCCAAGACAGCACTCGCACCAATGGTTTCAAGTTGGAAAAATTCAGATTCAGGAAGAATATAGAAAAGCACTGGTTTGGTAATAGAGTTGTGGATGAGTGGAACAAACTCCCGAGTGCAATTATTCAGGCTAAAACGTTGTGTAGTTTTAAAAATAGGTTAGATAAATTCATGAGTGGGTGTCGGTGGGTGTGAGTTGGAAATGACTAGCTGTGCTGCTGGGTCTGGTACCGTGCTCATTGAGTGGAGGTGACCAGACTGGGTGGGTCATTAGGCTAATCCGGGGGAGATTGAGCTAATCCGGGGGGGGGACATGGACCTGCTCCGCATGGGTCAGTAGGCCTGTTGCAGTGTTCCTTCTTTCTTATGTTCTTATGAAGCTAGAGAAAGTGCAGAGGTTTGCAACAAGACTAGTCCCGGAACAAAGGGGTATGTCCTAAGAGGAGAGGTTAAGGAAAATCTACCTGACGACCCTGGAAGACAGGAGAGTTAGGGGGAATATGATAACGATATATAAAATACTGAGAGGTATAGTCAAGGTGGACAGAAACAGAATGTTCCAGACATGGAACTCAGCAGCAAGGGGTCACATTTGGTTGCGCAAGACTCAGATGAACCACAGCGATGTTAGGAAATATTTCTTCAGTCACGGAGTTGTCAGGAAGTGGAATAGTGGTAGTGATGTAGTGGAGGCAGGATCCATACATAGCTTTAAGAAGAGGTATGATAAAGCTCACAGAGCAGGAAGAGTGACCGGGTAGCGGCCCCAGGTGAAGAGGCGGGGCCAGGAGCTGTGAATCGACCCCCACAACCACAACTAGGTGAGTACACACACACACACACACACACACACACACACACATGGTTTACCCAAAGGTGCAGGGAGGCAAAAACCAAGTGTGCTAGGGAATGGAAGAAATATAGAAGGCAAAGGACCCAGGAGAATAAGGAGAGCAGTTGTAGAGCCAGAAACGAATATGCACAGATAAGAAGGGAGGCCCAAAGACAATATGAAAATGACATAGCAGTGAAAGTCAAATCTGACCCGAAACTGTTGTACAGCCACATCAGGAGGAAAACAACAGTCAAGGACCAGGTAATCAGGCTAAGGAAGGAAGGAGGAGAGACAACAAGAAATGACCGTGAAGTATGTGAGGAACTCAACAAGACATTCAAAGAAGTGTTCACAGAGGAGACAGAAGGGGCTCCAGAAAGACGGAGAGGTGGGGCACACCACCATGTGCTGAACACAGTGCACACAACCGAGGAAGAAGTGAAGAGGCTTCTGAGTGAGCTAGATACCTCAAAGGCAATGGGGCCAGATAACATCTCCCCATGGGTATTGAGAGAGGGAGCAGAGGCGCTATGTGTACCCCTAACAACAATATTCAATACATCTATCGAAACAGGGAGATTGCCTGAGGCATGGAAGACAGCAAATGTAGTCCAAATCTTTAAAAAAGGAGACAGACATGAAGCATTAAACTACAGACCAGTGTCACTGACATGTATAGTATGCAAAATCATGGAGAAGATTATCAGGAGAAGAGTGGTGGAACACCTAGAAAGGAATGATCTCATCAACAGCAGCCAACATGGTTTCAGGGACGGGAAATCCTGTGTCACAAACCTACTGGAGTTCTATGACATGGTGACAGCAGTAAGACAAGAGAGAGAGGGGTGGGTGGATTGCATATTCTTGGACTGCAAGAAGGCGTTTGACACAGAACCACACAAGAAATTGGTGCAAAAACTGGAGGACCAAGCAGGGATAACAGGGAAGGCACTACAATGGATCAGGGAATACTTGTCAGGAAGACAGCAGCGAGTCATGGTACGTGGCGAGGTGTCAGAGTGGGCACCTGTGACCAGCGGGGTCCCACAGGGGTCAGTCCTAGGACCAGTGCTGTTTCTGGTGTTTGTGAACGACATGACGGAAGGAATAGACTCTGAGGTGTCCCTGTTTGCAGATGACGTGAAGTTGATGAGAAGAATTCACTCGATCGAAGACCAGGCAGAACTACAAAGGGATCTGGACAGGCTGCAGACCTGGTCCAGCAATTGGCTCCTGGAGTTCAATCCCACCAAGTGCAAAGTCATGAAGATTGAGGAAGGGCAAAGAAGACCGCAGATGGAGTACAGTCTAGGGGGCCAGAGACTACAAACCTCACTCAAGGAAAAAGATCTTGGGGTGAGTATAACACCAGGCACATCTCCTGAAGCGCACATCAATCAAATAACTGCTGCAGCATATGGGCGCCTAGCAAACCTCAGAACAGCATTCCGACATCTTAATAAGGAATCGTTCAGGACCCTGTACACCGTGTACGTTAGGCCCATATTGGAGTATGCGGCACCAATTTGGAACCCACACCTAGCCAAGCACGTAAAGAAACTAGAGAAAGTGCAAAGGTTTGCAACAAGACTAGTCCCAGAGCTAAGAGGTATGTCCTACGAGGAGAGGTTAAGGGAAATCAACCTGATGACACTGGAGGACAGGAGAGATAGGGGGGACATGATAACGACATACAAAATACTGAGAGGAATTGACAAGGTGGACAAAGACAGGATGTTCCAGAGATTGGACACAGTAACAAGGGGACACAGTTGGAAGTTGAAGACACAGATGAATCACAGGGATGTTAGGAAGTATTTCTTCAGCCACAGAGTAGTCAGTAAGTGGAATAGTTTGGGAAGCGATGTAGTGGAGGCAGGATCCATACATAGCTTTAAGCAGAGGTATGATAAAGCTCACGGTTCAGGGAGAGTGACCTAGTAGCGATCAGTGAAGAGGCGGGGCCAGGAGCTCGGACTCGACCCCCGCAACCTCAACTAGGTGAGTACAACTAGGTGAGTACACACACACACACACACACACACACACACACACACACCACACACACACACACACACACATACGATGAGAGCAACAGAGGAATGGTCGACACACTAGCCGAGGTGGCCAGGAGAGCAAAGTTACTAGTTATGGGTGATTTCAATCACAATGAGATTGACTGGGAAAACCTGGAGCCCCACGGGGGTCCCGAAACATGGAGAGCCAAGATGATGGATGTGGTACTGGAAAACCTCATGCATCAACATGTTAGAGACACTACCAGAGATAGAGGAGAGGATGAACCAGCAAGACTGGACCTTGTATTCACCTTGAGCAGTTCGGACATCGAGGATATCATGTATGAAAGGCCCCTGGGAGCTAGTGATCATGTGGTCCTGTGCTTCGACTACATTGTTGAGCTCCAAGTGGAGAGAGTAGCAGGAATAGGGTGGAAAAAACCAAACTACAAAAGGGGGAACTACTCAGGCATGAGGAACTTCCTTCAAGACATTCAGTGGGAGAGGGAACTGACAGGAAAACCAGTACAAGAAATGATGGACTATGTGGCAACAAAATGCAAGGAGGCAGAGGAGAGGTTTGTTCCCAAGGGAAACAGAAATAATGGGAAGAACAGAACGAGTCCATGGTTCACCCAAAGGTGTAGGGAAGCAAAAACTAGGTGTACTAGAGAATGGAAAAGGTACAGAAGACAGAGAACTCAGGAAAATAAAGAGATTAGCCGAAGAGCCAGAAACGAATATGCACAGATAAGAAGGGAGGCTCAGCGACAATATGAAAATGACATAGCATCGAAAGTCAAGACTGACCCGAAGCTGTTGTACAGCCACATCAGGAGGAAAACAACAGTCAAAGACCAGGTAATCAGACTGAGGAAGGGTGATGGGGAATTCACAAGAAACGACCGAGAGGTATGTCAGGAGCTCAACACGAGATTTAAAGAAGTATTTACAGTGGAAACCAGTAGGACTCCAGGAAATCAGAACAGGGGGGTACACCAGCAAGTGCTGGATGAGGTACATATAACCAAGGAGGAGGTGAAGAAGCTGCTATGCGAACTTGATACCTCAAAGGCGGTGGGACCAGACAACATCTCTCCGTGGGTCCTTAAAGAGGGAGCAGAGATATTGTGTGTGCCATTTAAAAAAGATCTTCAACACATCATTTGAAACTGGGCAACTCCCTGAGGTATGGAAGATGGCAAATGTAGTCCCAATTTTTAAAAAGGGAGACAGACATGAGGCACTAAACTACAGACCAGTATCACTAACGTGTATAGTATGCAAGGCCATGGAGAAGATCATCAGGAGGAGAGTGGTGGAGCACCTGGAAAGAAACAAGTGTATAATTGACAACCAGCACGGTTTCAGGGAAGGAAAATTCCTGTGTCACAAACCTACTAGAGTTTTATGACAAGGTGACAGAAGTAAGACAAGAGAGAGGGGTGGATCGACTGCATTTTTTTGGACTGCAAGAAGGCCTTCGACACAGTTCCTCACAAGAGGTTACTGCAAAAGCTAGAGGATCAGGCACACATAACAGGAAAGGCACTGCAATGGATCAGAGAATACCTGACAGGGAGGCAACAACGAGTCATGGTACGTGACGAGGTGTCAGAGTGGGCGCCTGTGACAAGAGGGGTTCCACAGGGGTCAGTCCTAGGACCTGTGCTGTTCTTGGTATATGTGAATGACATAACGGAAGGGATAGACTCAGAAGTGTCCTTGTTTGCAGATGATGTGAAGTTAATGAGAAGAATCAAATCGGATGAGGATCAGGCAGGACTACAAAGAGACCTGGACATGCTACAAGCCTGGTCCAGCAACTGGCTCCCTGAGTTTAACCCTGCCAAATGCAAAATCATGAAGATTGGGGAAGGGCAAAGAAGACCGCAGACACAAAAATAGTTTAGATGGCCAAAGACTGCAAACCTCACTAAAGGGAAAAAAGATCGGGGGGTGAGTATAACACCGAGCATATCTCCTGAGGCGCACATCAATCAGATAACTGCTGCAGCATACGGGCGTTTGGCAAACCTACGGATAGCTTTTCCGATACCTCAGTAAAGGATTCGTTCAAGACTCTGTATACCATTTACGTCAGGCCCATACGGAGTATGCAGCACCATTTGGAATCCACACCTAGTCAAGCACGTCAAGAAATTAGAGAAAGTGAAAAGGTTTGCAACAAGACTAGTCCCAGAGCTACGGGTTGTCCAAACGAAGAAAGGTTGAGGGAAATCGGCCTGACGACACTGGGGAACAGAGGGTCAGGGAGACATGATAACGACATATAAAATACTGCGCGGAATAAACAAGGTGGGCAAAGGCGGATGTTCCAGAGAAGGAACACAGACACAAGAGGTCACAATTGGAAGTTGAAGACTCAGATGAATCAAAGGGATGTTAGGAAGTATTTCTTCAGTCATAGAGTATCGGCCGTGGAATAGCCTAGAAAGTGACGTAGTGGAGGCGGGAACCATACATAGTTTTAAGGTGAGGTATGATAAAGCTCATAGGCAGGGAGAGAGAGGACCATAGCAATCAGCGAAAAGGCGGGGCCAGGAGCTATGAAACGACCTCTGCAACCACAAATAGGTGAGTACAAATAGGTTTAAATACATACACACATGTACTCGTATATAACACTGTCTTGCCAGAGGCGCGCCTTCACTACAATTCAAAAACTGCCACATATCGCCACCCGTCCTTGAGAGCGAGGTACTGTATTATCCATATACATGTATATATATAAAATAAATATATAAATATAATATATATATATAAAAGAGAGAGAGAGAGAGAGAGAGAGAGAGGAGAGAGAGAGAGAGAGAGAGAGAGAGAGAGAGAGAGAGAGAGAGAGAGAGAAAGAAAGAGAGAGAGAGAGAGAGAGAGAAAGAGAAAGAGAAAGAGAAAGAGAAAGAGAAAGAGGGAGAGAAGGAGAGAGAGAGAGAGAGAGAGAGAGAAGAGAGAGAGAGAGAGAGAGAGAGAGAGAGAGAGAGAGAGAGAGAAAGAAAGAGAGAGAAAGAGAGAGAGAGAGAGAGAGAGAGAGAGAGAGGGGAGAGAGAGAGAGAGAGAGAGAGAGAGAGAGAGAGAGAGAGAGATGGATAAGCCACCAAAGTGTAATTCATCGATAAAGGTATCAGGGAAATTATATACAGAAATAGTTCAAGTAAGTTTTTATTACGCTAATTAAAATTGCTGAAACAGTGACACCTTGACTGCAAACAGTCACAGATCGAACCATCTCTTACAAGGACTTTCTGTTTTTACAGTTTTATTAATGTACTGTATTTCAGGTAGTGACATCATGTCAGGGAACGAACTCCTGTTTTACGGTCGTCGGAAACAAGCACAGAAGGTGGTAATCCCCGGGGGAGTGGCCCATGTCTTCTTTTACTCCACTGAGAGCGTCTTCGACGCCACCGGCTTCAACATAACATACAACTCCACAAGTAATGATAAGCCTCCCTCTGTGAATTAGTTTCTAACATTTATTTCAATGGAAATCAATCTTAACAGAAATTTTTTCATGATATTATAGGTACGTGCAATGTAAAAAAATATAACGTACAGATATTCTTAGTTCTGAAAGGTTTTTCATTCGACTTTCCGATGCTTGTATGGTGGTAGAGTTGGTATGCAATATCAATATTATAATGAAGAAGACATGTGCAACACCTGGGTATCTTTAATATGAAGACTTCTCGCCAACTAGTGGGTTATTAATTCAATATTTGTTGGTGTTGAAACTAGAGACAGTAGAGGACAAGGTAATCAGTTCCTCAGCCTGGATGTTCACCTCGTTTTCTGTTCTCTTGGAGATGAACAACGCTCCTGGAGACACGAGCGTTGACGGAAGACAACGTAGACGAGGTGGAGAGGATGTTGCACATGTATCTTGGTCACATATACTTAGTATTGCGCATATATCTTGCTCACACATACTTAGTGTTGCACATGTATCTTGGTCACATATACTTAGTGTTGCACATGTATCTTGTCACACATACTTAGTGTTGCACATGTATCTTGGTCACATATACTTAGTATTGCACATATATCTTGCTCACATATACTTAGTGTTGCACATGTATCTTGGTCACATATACTTAGTATTGCACATATATCTTGCTCACACATACTTAGTGTTGCACATGTATCTTGGTCACATATACTTAGTATTGCACATATATCTTGCTCACATATACTTAGTGCTGCACATATATCTTGCTCACATATACTTAGTGCTGCACATATATCTTGCTCACACATAGTGTTCAAACATTTCCTGAAAATAAAGTAAATGACATTTCCCGGTACCTAAAGGTATTTATTATGACTCTGCTACATATTATATCAAGTACCTTGAGACTTCTTTGAATTAACTATATTGATTCCCAGATACAATTCTACTGATAATCTTGCACAGCAAATGACTCATTTTGGAAATTTAGCTAAATTTTTATTATAAATACAATATTGAAATATATGATTTGTGGAGCTGCAGTCATCTTGAAATTACCTATTATATAATTACTCTTACAAAGTTTTTGTCTTGATCTTTTTTTATCAGAAAAAGATGAAGACAAAGATCGACTAAATTTTGGTCACACATTGTAACTATTATATTAAAAATAGTACTGGAACATTGCGAGATTACCTAATTCTGATGAAATTAAGAAAAATTAAACTGGGTGTTACAGAACAAGTGACCACGCAGGCGCCTATTACATACCAACGCTTCTTGAAGTCTCGAAAACTATTGTGGCTATTAATGGCATTCTAAATACGAAGTGAGTCTTTCTACATTCTTGACTTTAGCCTTAATGAAATTTGTGTACGTCGTGGTTGTCTCTACTGTAGCAAATGTACACTTAGCAGACCTATGTTGTCTGAGTCCTGTCTTTATTCTTTAATTTATAATCAAATGTTAAAAGCCTATAGAGGGTTACGACATATTCCTTCACTTGTGACCATTAAGTATTCTACACCTTGTTTGTAAGCGGAGAAGCTTTCTAGGATCCAGTTTCTTCAGCCTGCTTCTTATTCCTAATTGAGCTTGAAAAGAATATTCTTTATTTCTTTTCTTCTTATGTATAATATTATATATACTATATATATTTCTATATATTACTTTATTTATATATATATTTTAATATAATATATATATATATTCCTCGGGTGGTCCCTGAAAATAAACACTTATGATTCACACTATATGCTTTCTTGCCGAAGGCGTCGCAGATCGACAATTTAGATTTATCTAAACGCAATATCTCAATACTTCTTAAGAGTTGCAGAACTCTTTATTCCACTTCCAAGACTTAACGCCGGTGAACCTGTTTCCTTAAATCCTTCACAAAATATTATCCTGTTCACACTCTAAACAGCTCACCAAGTCCCAAAAATCATTTGTCTCCACTCCTGTCTAACATGCTCATACATACCTGCTGAATGTCCAAGCCCCTTGCACATAAAACCTCTCTTACTCCCTTCCTCCATCCATTCCTTAGACGACCCCTACCCCCTCCCCCTCCCTCCATTACAGTTTTATACACCCTCCAGGTCATCCTATTTTGCTCCATCCTCTCTTAATGACCAAACAATCTCAACATCTCCTCCTCAGCCCTCTGAATAATACTTTTAGTAACTCCACTCCTCCTAACTTCCACACTACGAATTCTCTGCGTAATATTTACGCCACACATTGCCCTCGTTGACTTCTTGACAAATACTGTATTTATTTCGTGACCTCTGTTCTAGCTAATGTCAAATCTGTTGGTAAATTTTTGTATTAATGAATATTTACCTAGTAGCGATTGTTCACTATTTAGTTGTTTCTGTCTTTAACAATTACGCAGAAATGAAAAATGAATATAACTCAATAAATGCCTTCTGAATATTATTTTTATTTTAGTTTATAGCTAACAATGGTGTTCATATTTACGAAAAATTCTTCATCCAGTCATCCATTATTTATTCCACAAATTTCTTTACTGATGTATTCTTTGGCGACGTGGATATTTTTGTGACTGTGTGTGTTGATGTAGTTGTGAGTACCTTTGTGTGTGAGAGCATCACCAGTGGCTCTGCGCACACGTGTGTTTGTGGATACGAAAGGACGAAGTCACAAAGAGAACCTCTTTGGCAGTCTTCGTTATATAGGTAAAATATACGTGTATGCATGGCATATTGTAATAATTGCGTCATCAACAGTGGCCAAACTACAACGATACCTTCAAGAAGAACATCGCTGCGATGGCTACGGACTACCTGCACAGTATGTTCGTAATCAACAAGGATATTGCTGTCACGTGAGTCATTCTCTAAATTTGTTTGGAAAACTGTTACATGCTGATAGCAGCTTGTAAAACACTCAACACCACCCACTGTTGTCATATCATGGTGCTTGTTATAACATGGAGCTTTTGGTCATCTAACCGATGCCTTCCGCTGGCTTACCGGTCAACCCCTTCAAAAATTGAGGTTATAATTATAACCAGTGGTAGGCGATACCCCCCAAATGCAGCATATGTTAGGTCTGAGTACTACTCCTATGTTAAGCCTGAATGCTACGCTAATGCTGTATTAATGTTGGTAGAATTACCGACAATATGTCAGGTAAAAGGACACAAGTGCAACTAGTGTGGCATTTCATTGTGGCAACGTTTCGCTTACCAGGAGCTCCTGGAGAGCAAAACGTTGCCACAATAAAGTGTCACATTAGTTGCACTTGTGTCCTTGTACCTACACTAATGCCGTTTTTTGAGAGCTACATTCATGTGTGTCTGCTGCTACACCAGAACCCATATTTTTTGTCAGTATATATTCCCAATATATGTTTCTTCAAAACGTATTTTTCTTTTCTTGGAAAATAATACTGACGGTAATGTTGTTCTAGTATGAATATCATATTATTTTCCTATTAGCAGCCTAGTAAACAGAATATTTTTGGAGGAATTTACTTTACCAAATAAAATAGAAAGCTTGATGTAAATTACGTAAATTTGAAACGTTTTCAAATTTTAGAATGAAAACTTGAGAAAATGTGATTTCTACAATAAACTAAACAAGAAACATGTTTAAGTTAGAGTTAGAGGAAATTGGTAAATTAACATTCATAGATATCCGCGTTATTTACCCTATAATTTGAATATAATTTAAGCTAAGCAAAAACGTTAATTCAGTCAGGTAAATATCATCATCAGTAACGAGTTTTTACAAAATTAAAAATTTATTGACAGTGAGAAAAAATCAAACCGTCACTTAAAATTTTTAATCACGGAAATAATTCAACAATATAATATTTTCTCCAACAAAATTCAAGGCTATTTCTTAGTTTAATAAAATGTGTCGTAAACTAATCGACGTATGGCAGAGAAAATTGTAAACAAACAGGAGCGTCTCTAAATATTTAAAATACTATACGAAGACTGTCAATGAATTCCGATATCGTAATGACGCTGATTACAAAACAAACCATCCCCCCCGGGCTGTGGTTTACGCTACCCCCGAATCAGAATCATAAAACAAGACCGTCATCTGACCACGAGATGGCTAAGACACGATAAGATTCACCATACACGCGGGTTAGAACATAGATATAAACCCACCGCGGTAGCCCTGGCGTGACAAACATCATACTTTGAAATCGGCGGACAATGAGACATAGAGTTCGTCACGGCAATGCTAGCTGGAGATTCGTCTGTAAAAACTTGCATTTGTGGTCACAGTGGTGCCTATGCTAACCTTCCTATGGTGTAGAAATATACCTAGTTGGATTAATCTTATTGTACATTAAAATGGTATAAAATACCGACAGATTGTTAGGTAAGACACATATGAACAGTTAGGTATCTTTATTTCGAAAACGTTTCCCTACACAGTAGGTTTTAGTTCGATTACAATAAATTATAATACGAAGACTGTCATCTGAACGAATGTAATCAGTCAACACACCTTAAATTTTGGGTGGTCAGTCCCTCAGTCTGGAACTCCAGACGTTGTTGCCTGGAAACACAATGATCTTCATCCAACTAGTGGATGACAACCCCTGCACAAACTTTTAGGGGAATGACTGATTCGTCGTCGCAATGCTATCTTTGCTCTTACAAACTTTTTGTAGTCGACTGAGAGCCTATGTTACGATGTTTCGAAATATACCTATGTTGATATGTTATAATCTTATTGTAGACAGTTGGTCCAGTGGTTAAAGCGACGGTCTGGAGTTTTATGACTCTCTGATCGCGGGTTCTAATCCCACCCGTGGTATGGTTTCGAAGACTGTCATTTGTGATATTTTCGGTACACATTAAGATCTCTACAGAATGCACATTAAATAGAAAAAGTGATCAGATAAATTCTGTTATTCTTTAGTAATTCCTTGACACCAATTACAGCACTGCATCTACAAAAGAAATATTCGTTAGTATTGTCTGGTGCAGAGGAAGGTATCCTGAATATCAGAGAAACAGTATAAATTTTCCCTCATCCCTCATTACAAGCGTGGAAGTTTGTGCAATGTTTAAGGTGGTCAAAACTGAGTCGATTGGTAATGTGACATACTCCATTTGCTTCAAGTCTTCTTCCAAAATATGGGCGTTTTGTCTGATTTACACACACACACACACACACACACACACACACACACACACACACACACACACACACACACACACACACACACACACACCACACACACACGCACACACACACACACACAAACACACACACACACACCACACACACACACACACACACACACACACACACACCACACGCCAGGAGCTCGGACTCGACCCCCGCAACCTCAAGTGAGCCTCAGACTACACACCCACACACACACACAACACACACACACACACACACACACAACATAAACACACATCATATATATATATATATATATATATATATATATATATATATATAATATATATATAGTTATATAATTGTAGGGGCACGTATATATTTGAGAATTCTATAGATAAATATAAATATTTATTATTTTACCTGTGATATACCTGTGATCAGTCTAAGGGAGCTCTAAGCTTGCAGCTCTGCCAATTACATGGCTTCTGCAACACAAACCTTCGTTTTACTACTTAACAAGTGCACATTACCATCAGACCTGAGATGGTATTCATCAATGACATGAAGACTTGCCATCCCTTCAACTGCGATGTCAACTGTGTTGCTTACAACTTCAGTATGGACGTATTCGTAAACGACAATCCAGTCTTTACCAGTAGAATGCTCAACCAAATGTTAAGCGACCCTGAGCTACAGTTCTACATCACCAACATCACCGGGACCTCAGAGGTATACCAAAGTTTTCTCAGATCAAAATTGATTTTATTATTAGGTTCCAACGATATGGAAGCCATCTTACAGTTTCATGATACTTCAATGTTCTTTTCAGTTAACTAAAGAACACCACATTACAGATTTGTTATATTTCGTCTTTTGTAAGTCTAAGAATACGACGTAAGATAAAAATTCAGAAACGTTGACGATACTACTTATCATCATGTTTAATGTAGTTGTATATTATGGGTCATGTAAGAGCTTATCATGTGTCATGCAAGTGTTTATCATGTGTCATGCAAGTACTTATCATGTGTCATGCAAGGTGGCCTGGTGGCTAAAGCTCTCGCTTCACACACGGAGAGCCCGGGTTCGATTGCCGGATGGGTGGAAACATTTTGACATGTTTCCTTACACCTGTTGTCATGTTCACCTAGCAGCAAATAGGTACCTGGGGTGTTAGTCGACTGGTGTGGGTGGCATCCTGGGGAACAAGATTGAGGAACCCAATGGAAATAAAATAGACAGTCCTCGATGACACACTGACTTTCTTGGGTTATCCTCCGGGGTTGAAAATCTTATTTTATCTATAACAGATGAAACGAAGGAAAGAATGGACGATAGTTGGGGGAGGGTAAGGTTAGTATGTGTGGCTGATGCATCAGTGGAAAGAAAGAAATTCATCAGATGACTCAAAAGGAGAAAAAGGTACCAGAGAATAATGGTACCAAAATTATACATGAATTTTGAGCATTGTAGCAAGGAGGACAGAGGCGGTGGACATATTACACATAGAATTTGAGGTAAAGAAATTAGAAAATGAAGTGAGAATACAAAAAATGAAGTGTAATGAGAGAGATTGTCAAGAAAGACTCCAGAAAGTTTTAAAGAATGGAAGTCATAAGTCATTGTTATGAAGACTAAGCGAGAGATTTACCAAAAGTAAACCTTATGAATAAGGTTTCGAGAATCTTTGCACAAGTTTAGATTTTTTGATCTCTGATAATAGCACGATGGTTCAATCTTAGTTTTCGAAAAAGAGAACAGTTTCAGGATGTTTTCAGTGTAATTAACAAGGACTGTCTCCAATCATTGTTAATTACGAAATAAATCAGAGCTTAAGATTTCCAAGTCGAAATTATCTAACCATAAAAACTAAATATTAGGCAAAGGTGATATGATTTCCTTCGTGAGGCAAAAAAATCAGTTGAATAAGAGGCTTAGTCGAGACTTCTGGCTTCACTAATAAATCATTTTCAAGTGCCTAACTAATGTTTTCTCGCCTCACTGAGCATCCTAGAGTTGCAAAAGGAAACACAACATTGCAAATAAAATTAGAAGTAAGATTTTTTTTGGTGAGATACCAAATATTCAAACAAGTTTTGGATTGTTGTGCTGAAGTATGAAAACTGTATGAAAAAACTGTTATTGAACTAGAACAAATAGTTTTCAATGCTCTTAGAATCCCATCAAGTAATATTTTTTTGAGAGCGAGAGAGAATTTTCTCAACTCTAACAAATACAAAGAATTAAGACACATTCCATCATTATAAACCATAGAAACCGTGCTGAGAATTAGGAATCATCTTGTTAGTACCAAAAAAAAAATGCTACAACAAATTTAAAGAGATAAAATAATAAGCTTTATCAATAACTCTACGTATAAGAGAAGAACCTTGATACAGTCTCTCAAGAAACAGAAATATTGTCCATGGAGTATGTCTTTATTACATATTAGTATGTTCTTACATGAGTGACCTCTTCAAGGGGGGCTCCTTGGCGTGGTGAAGAGGCTCTTGGTTTGAGGAATTAGACCTGTCAGTCTCCTTCCTCAGACCGAACCTAATTACCCCCCAATCCCCCCTTCCCTATCCCATCCTCCCCATCCTCCCCATTTTCCTTTCCTCCTCCTCCTCCCCATCCGTCCCTTTTTTTGCCCTTCCTCTTTTTGGCCTTTGGAATTTTTCCCACAGGCGCGCTATTTCCTAGGTAGGGGAAAGGGTACTGGGGTCCATCCCATTCCGTTGAGGTTCTTGGCAGTGGCGTAGTTTGCCGGGGAATCTGGATTGCCTGGGGATGTCCCGATCCCTCTCCGGTATCCCGGAGGGTGGCTTTGGGTGTCTTTCGGGCGAAGGGTGTATCTCTGGAAGCCACCTTTCGGATTACGGGGGTGGTGGCCGAAGGAGTTATGCTTTGTGGTGGATATCTGGCCGCCCTCTCTTTCGTCTACCGAGGTAGCTCGGCAGATGTGAGGTTGCTATCCTGGATTGCTGGTTTACTGGCATGAAGGGTAGGGTATGGCATGGGTTCCATGCTGCATCTGCGCTACTTGCGGTGCTGAGGTCCTCTTGGGTGCGGAGGGAGATTTCTGGCCCTTTCATTCCTCCTAGGAATTATCCCTCCCTGGTCCCCCCTCTTTTTATTCTTTTTTTTATTTTTATTTTCTTTTCTTCTTTCTTTTTTTTTCTTAAAAACAAAAAGAAAGAAGTAACCTAACCATGGAATCCCCAATCCATAACCCTGGTATCCCCGGGCCCCTTATTGTTACCACACCCCATTCTGACCTCGCCTTGTCTTTTGGCCACTCTTCGGACACTCCTAAGGCCCCTGTACCTCTTGCTGGTGCTGTTTCGTCACCCGCTTCAGGTGCCGGGGTTTTGACTGACTTATTCGATTTGTCTGACCTCCGCTCTCCTTTGACCAAGCTTCCGGCCTCTCTCTCTATGGTGCGGCAATTTTCGAATCGCCAGCCCATCCCACGTCGGACCAACTCTGGTCCCACTTCTAAACGCCAACGACAATCTCCTGATGATGTTACTTCGTTACCTTCCAATTGTACTCGGAAAAGACTGACACGTCATGCACTCCCTCTCCATACTCAGTTTCAGACCACACAATGGACTAAATTCTTTACTTTAAGACCGACTTCTTCTACTGCCTATCTTTCCGACCATAGTATTGGCAAAGCGCTCCTACACCGTGTTGGTAGAGATATTTCCTTTCCTGCTCTTCAGAGTGGTATGCACATCATCACAGTCCAGAATGCTACCCAAGCTCATGATCTTTCTCTTCTTTCACATATCGATACTATTCCTGTCATTATCGAAAAACATCATTCTCTCAATTTTTGTAGTGGTACTGTCATTCTGCCCCATACCATAGTCCAACAGAAATTCCAGACATGTGGCAATGACATTCTCGAACAGCTGGAACTCCAAGATCTCTCAATTCTCAAGGTAGACACTTATGTTCTTCCTGCCCGCAGGCGGAGACGATACCCTTGCAATGTGGTTCGTTTAACTTTTTGACAGCCGTGAACTCCCATCCTCTGTTTATGTAACAGGACATTGGTTACAAGTTCGAAAGGTGATCCCTACACCGCAACAGTGTAGAAATTGCTGGCGATTTGGCCACCCAGCAAAATATTGCAGATCTATAGCGAATGCCCAGTCTGTGGTGCTGATGACCATTCTAATACGTCTTGCAGTCAACCTCCCTCTTGCATTAATTGCCATGTGCTCACCCTCCGTACTCCCGCCATTACCAGGTCTACTTAAATGAGCAGGAAATTCGTTGCCTCAAAGAGGCAGAAGGTCTTCCTTATGCTATGGCGGTTTCTCATCTCCGCCTCCAAGGAAGACTACCACGTGTTTCTTATTCTCGTGTTTCAAAACGTCCTCCCACTTCTAGGGTCCCATCTTCTGCAGCCTCTTCTGTGGTTGCCAGTCCCATAGTCACTCCTGTATCTAATTCTTTTGCTGTCCTGGGCTCAGACGTCCCTACTTCAACACCTCAATCTGTTCTCACTTCTTCGTGCTCTCCCTCACAAACCCCGGTATCGACAAGACCTCGTGCGACACCTCCTCCCAATAGTCTCTCTACTTCTCAGAAGTCCAAAAAATCTCCTTTAACCCCTCCTTCCCTTCATCCACCTCCACACTTTACTTTCCCGATCTCTGTACCTGGGTCTTCCACTTTCACTGGCTCTGTTACAAGTGTGGAGGTTCATCCTCCTCCTCGTACTGTGCCTTCCTCCCCTGTCCCCTCCCAAGTTTCTTCCTCTTCTGCCACCTCCCAGGTTTCTGCCTCTTCTGTCCCCTCCCACACTTCTCCAGTTCCCTTCACCCTTTCGCCCCCCCCTCTACCTTGGTACAGTCCATTACAGTTCCGATCTTTACTCAATCTCCTCCTCCTTCCATTTCCAATATTGTTTTCCACATGACGTCTCTGAACTCCGAAACACTTGAAGCAATCTCTGAATATACTGCAGAGACCAAACCATCAAAGGACACTGATCCACCCTCTGTTCCTTCTCTTTCCTCTTCTCCATCTGCGCAACTCCTTTCTTCACAGCTCACCGTTCCTTCACTGCTTGAACGCTTTCCTTTGCCACTGCATGTGGACTTTTCTAACCCCTCTAGTCCATAAGTACCCTTACCTGTGGATTTCTAGTATCTTTATTGTTGCCAATCATGGCCTATTTACGGTGGAATATCTGCGGCCTCAGGGGTAATAGGGGTGAGCTTCAGACGTTGCTTTCCCAATTTTTCCCTGTTGGTGTTTGTTTACAAGAATTAAAATTACACTCTGCTGTTATCTATCCCATCTCAGGCTATAATTTATTGTATTCTTCGGATCCTTTTCCTGATAAGACCTTTAACGAAAGTGCCCTTCTTCTACGCACTGATATTCTGTAACATCAGCTATTTGTTCGTACTTCGCTCATTACACAACAGCCCGTATCCACCTGCATAGGTGGTATACACTTCTCGAGCATTATCTATTCCGGATATTGCCTTTCTTGTTTCGTCATTACCGACACCACTTCTGTTACTTGGCGATTTTAATGCCCATCATTTCCTCTGGGGGGGTCTCACTGTGATTCCCGTAGCATTCAGCTAGAGGCTTTTCTTGCTTCCCACCCCCTCCATGTTTTAAATACAGGTACTCGCACCCATTTTGATCCTTGTACTCATACTCTTTCTTGCATCGATCTCTCATCTGCTCTTCCTCTG